TCTCCGAGTCGCGTCGTGATTCGAGCTGCAATTGGCCTTTGATCCTTTCAGGGGCTCCGGTTTGGCGATAGTGTTTTTCGTTTCTCGCCCTTGGGCGTTTGGCAATTTTTTGGGTCCAGTCTTCGAGTCGCACTGCGACTCGGGCTGTAATTGACCCTTGAATCTTATTCGAGTTTTCGACCAGTGGTGGTATCCTTTCTGTTGTTTGGTCATTGAGACCCTTTAGTATGAGGCCCGGAGGCTTGCTTAGCCGGCGACAATGGCACTTACGTTGTTTGGTCATAGAGACCTTTTAATGTGAGGCCCGGAGGCTTTTCTTAGCCGGCGACAATGGCACATACGTTGTTTGGTCGTAGAGACCTTTTGATATGAGGCCCGGAGGCTTTGCTTAGTCTAACTATTTTGGATTCGGTCTCCGAATCGGGTTACGATTCGAGCTCACTTTAATCCTCAAGTTGTCAATTTTCAATTTGATGGTCGTAGAGACCTTTCGGTGTGAAGCCCGGAGGCTTTGCTTAGCTGGCGACAATGGCATTTTCGCTGTTTTGATGTGAGGCCCGGAGGCTTTTTGTAGGCTTTGTTTCCTCTCGTTAAGGTCTTATTGATTATTTTGCCTGACTCGTCGTCGGTTCTAAAAGAACCTCGATTTCAAGTCGTAATCGGCGATGTTTTGAGCACCTCGGAAGGTTCATAGCCCACAGGTCGAGTAGATCGACGCTTTTTTGATTTTAGAGCCGACGTGGTCGGGAATCGTTTATTGCCTGTTGAGGGAAGCCTGTGTTTTAACCGGTTCTTTCCGAAGTAGATTCGGAGGATTTTTTAGCAACAGTCGGGCGTCCCCGAGTCGCATTTTTTGGGCTGTGGCAGCCGTTCCGACCGTAGTCGTGTGCATTTGGCCGGGGCCATTTTTTTTATCCCGAGAAGCAGTTTTAGGCGTCCACACCGAGGGTATGCCCTTTAGGGATTCTTACAAATGCAACGTATAGCGTAAACTGCGGGATTTTTCATGCCTATTGAGGTCTTATAGTTTGTCATGCATGTTGAGGTCTTACAGTTTATCATGTTTGTTGAGGTCTTACAGTTTATCATGCATGTTGAGGTCTTCCAATTTACCATGCCTGTTGAGGTCTTACAGTTTAGGGAGAGCAGATCTGGTTTTGCCGAGCCTGGCCGTTAGGGTCTTACAATTTTGGATTTTCCAGTGCGTGGCGATTGGCGACAGTCTCCTAGTTATCGAGTTCGCTTGAAGACAGCTTTCCACGAGCTTGGAGCTGTTTCTGGGGGCTTGATGAGCCCGGAGTTGTTTTTCGGGGGCTTGGTGAGCCCGGAGTTTGTTTTTCGGGGGCTTGGTGAGCCCGGAGTTCGACCCTGGGGTCGTCCGGATGTCGGACTTCCTAAGTCTCCGAGTATCTCGGGACGTATTTCGTGGAGATGCCCCCATCGGGGGTGTGCTGTGATTTGTTTCTTTTTGCAAAGCAAGGCATTGGAGATATGCTCTGGCTTATTGATGCGATATATGTGTTGTCGAGTTGGCTTGACCGATTTTTAGGTCAATTCGGGTTGTTTTGTTGATTCTCACGTTGCTTTGCTTTTGTTTAGGAGCCTTTCTTTTCTCCTAATAAAGAAGGGGGATGTTTTTTGATTGCCTGATATAACGATACATGTTCTCGTCTTAACGATATTTGGCTACTTTGACCGCTTTGGCCTGATACATCATTTCCCCGTATGGATCTTTATTCAGCGCTCCTCTGAGTCTAGTGGATTTCAGGAGGGGTGCTCCTAGCCGCTTCGGGGGCTGGCCGTAAAGATGGCTTCGAGCGATTTGAGCAGAGTTTTATCTCCAGGTGGCTTCGCGGGCGTTGCCTCATTAAAAACCTTGCCGGTAAAAACCCTTCTTCTTTTTGGGATAAAAAACTCAGTCTAAGGAAAAGAGTGCAACGGGCGCGCCTTTATTGGGGCGTCTTGAGATCTTCGGACAGTGCTAGTGTCTCGATATTTCCGGTCAAGTCGAGGGTGCCTTTTGGGAGTCCCCGAGGCTTTCGGGCAGTTCCTACACGAGGGTTAATTTCTATTTTGAAAATAAAATAAAAGAAACAGAGGTACCTTGAGACGGGATACTCCTGGGTGCTGACTTGCTTTGATCGTCCGCGGTCGGTCATGCAACGCGGGTTTATCTTTGCGTTTTGTCATACCTACCTGGGGTTGAGCCCTAATTCGCCCGTGGGCTTATTCGGGGGCGGAGTCAAGGGGACCGAGAGTCCATCGTGTATTGCAAACATTTCTCTCGCCGCGTGCTGCTCTCCATGGATTGTTTTGACCCCATCCTTTGTTAGGAATTTTATCATTTGGTGGAGAGTGGACTGTACTGCTCTCATGCAATGTATCCATGGACGTCCGAACAAGGCGTTGTACCTCATGTCCCTTTCGATGTCGTGGAACTTGGTATGTTGGGTTACGCCGGCCACGGTGATGGGTATGATGATCTCCCCTTTCGTTGTTTCGCTCGCCATGTTGAACCCGTTGAGGACTCGAGTGGCTGGTACGATTCGTTCAGTTAAACCGAGTTGTTCTATTACCCTTGACCTGATAATATTAGCCGAGCTACCTGGATCCACGAGTACACGTTTTATCTGGAAAGAATTTGCAAGGAAGGAAATTACCAGAGCGTCGTTGTGGGGCTGAGACAAAGCATCTGTATCCTCTTCACTGAAGGTAAGGGCGTCATCGGGGATGTATCCTCGAATCTGTTTCCCCTTTGTGATAGATATTTTTGTTTTCCTCATCATGGGTTCTTGCGAGGTGTCGGCGCCGCCCATGATCATGTGGATGATGTGTTGAGGTTCGTTTGCCTCATTCTTCTTGGCTGCCTCCCTATCTCGAAACTGATTTTTGGCCCAATCGCTGAGGAATTCTCAGAGGTGTCCTCTGTTGAGCAGCCGGGCTACCTCTTCTCGTAGTTGATGGCAATCCTCGGTCCGGTGGCCGTGTGTGTTGTGGAACTCGCACGTCAAGTTGTAATTTCTCTGCGAAGGATCCGACTGTATTGGTTTGGGCCATTTTGTATCTCGCATTTTGCTGATAGCGAACACGATGTCTGATACGTCGATGCTGAAATTGTATTCCGACAAGTGAGGTGCGTTGACTTGTCCCATGTTTCGGTCAAACCGGGTCCTCTTGATGACCCCTCGAGGATCCTGTCCTCGATCCATCTTCCTATCGTTGCGGGGCAGATTGCGCCTTGGGGCATTCCTTCTGTCTTCGAGGTACGGCTGATACCGTTCTTTGCTTGGCTTCATCTCTTTTGTCGGGAATCTGCTTGGGTACACCGAGCCCGATAGGGCCCCCAGTTGGTCATCCTCTGCCCTGATCTTCGATTGATACCGGTTGTGGACGTCCGACCAGGTTACGGCCGGATATTCGATTAGATTTTGTTTCAGTTTTTTCGAAGCCATGGAGCTCCGTTCATTCAGGCCTTGAGTGAAGGCCTGCACCGCCCAATCGTCGGAGACTGGTGGTAACTCCATTCGTTCCATCTGGAACCGGGACACGAACTCCCGCAGCATCTCGTTTTCTCTTTGCTTGATTTTGAAAACATCGGACTTCCTTGTTGCTACTTTAATGGCTCCGGCGTGTGCTTTTACAAAAGAGTCCGCTAACATGGCGAATGAGTCTATGGAGTCGGGGGCCAGGTTATGGTACCACATCATGGCCCCCTTTGAAAGCGTTTCTCTGAACTTTTTCAATAGTACGGATTCAATCGCGTCACTCTTTATGTCGTTACCTTTTACTGTGCAGGTATACGCAGTGACGTGTTCGTTGGGGTCGGATGTGCCGTTGTATTTAGGGAGTTCCGGCATTCTGAACTTCTTCGGGATAGGTTTCGGCGTCGCTTCTTCGGGGAATGGCCTTTGAATGAATTTCTTTGAATCTAGACCCTTAAGGACCGGAGGGGCGCCAGGGATCTGATCGACCCTAGAGTTGTAGGTTTCGACCCTTTTATCGTTGGCTGCGATCATTTTCTCTCCCGATTCGATCCTTTTGGTGAGGTCCTCGAGTAATTTTACGATAGCGGGGTCAGCCACCGACTTGTTGTTGCTTGACCTTTCGAGTACCCGCTCTGCGGGGGGAGCTGTATCTGGTGCCACTGTACTGGGGGTTCTTGGGTGCTCTGTAGCTAAGCGATTGCTAGTTGTTGTGCCTGCAACATTTCAAAGATAACGTGAAGACTAACTTCCTGCTCTTCCCGGGCCGGGGTTTTTTACGCTTCTAGTTGGTCGCTGCGTCGTACGCTCCTGTTGGTGTGAGACGTTTCGTCTACTTGCTGAGCATCCTGCGAATCCGCGTCTACTGGGATTGGTCCGGGAACGCCGTCAGGATTCTGTGGAGGTGCTCCAACAGCCAGAATGGCCACGCCGTTTTTCACGTGGTCTTCGAGGTCGTTGTTCCCAACCATGTTTATCGAGCCGAACATTTGACCTGCAATCAAAGAGTTCTCGGGCAAAAAAAAGTGTGAAAGATATCGTGCGTTTAAGTGACGAAACTAGCAAGAAAATAATCACTATTATTTTTAGCCCCACGGTGGGCGCCAAACTGTTTACCGTGAAAATGGTAACAACAACTAAATTTGTAAAATGGGATTCTAAAAATATGTGATCTATTCCCGAGCTAGTTTGAGAAGGTGAGTAGTGCTAAACGTGAAGTAAAATAATAAAGATCGAGCTAGCCAAAACGATAATCGAACTGGTAAGGGGCGTTTCCGAGCTTAGGACAAGCCAATAAATACCTCGGGACCAGACCTCGAGCCTACCTCGGGCCTATCGAGGGTAATCTTATCGAGGGTATTTGGGAAGGGAATAACAGATAAATATACAAGCAAGTAAGGCTTTATATAATCAAGTTTGAGCGAAATGTTTGAAGAACAGATCAAGAAACAATAAAATGCTGAAGACGATCTCGAGATATAATAGACAAATCGAGAGAATAGCTATCGGTGAATATGATTTAAAACCAGAGAGGAATTTAGAGAAAGAGAGAGAGAATATTATTGCTTTCTTTGTAAAGCCAACAAGAGATGATCCTACAAGGTGTTGGTGACCCTTCTTTTATAGAAAAAAGGGGGGCGTCCAAACTTAATATAACAAACAAATACAACAAAATAACGAGATGCGACAGCCTGCATTTCTTTGTAGGAGAACTGGCGTCGAGCCGTTTGGAGAAGTCTCGCGGGCCCCAGTCACATCCCTCGGGGAATATCTTCGCCCATCAAGGTCTTAATTGGTGCTCGATCTGGGCAAGGCATCGGCTAGGTCTCGAGGGGGAACCGAACCGAGATCCCGTGCCTTCGGGGCTTGCTCTTCGAAATACTATCTCGAGGAAAATTGGTCTCCCGATTTCCCTGCATACACTTCATAATGCAGATACAAACACATCACAGCTAGACCAATTAGTGTAGATAAACCTCTTAAAAAAAAACAACATGGATTCACAAGCTAACATGTAATTTAGATCTTCGATTAACATCTTAACAGAAAAATACAAAGGTACAGCCACATACCTAGCAATCTGCAATCAACAGAAGATCCGCACCGAATAAAGGTCAAAGAAAAATCAAATATGCAGATCAGCTACTAATCAACAAGTACTCAGCAGCAGCAAAACAGAAGGAATAGAGATAGACCAAACTCCAAACAAAACAGAACGAGTTAGGACCAAAGTGTAGGGAAATGAAGCCAAATTGAGAAATATTTTTTTTTTCTTTTCTGAAGTTTTCAAGATTGAATTTCAAAAGTTCCTTTTCTACTAAAAGTAAGAGTAAAAAATGAAATTCAGAGCCTCTCTGGTGCCTTTAATGAGTGAATATGCAGATATTGACGTATATGTCTATGTATTCCAAATTCAGAGCCTCTAAAATGAGAGGAGATGGGGCCTTATATAGAGAATGAAATTTGTTGTGTGCCAGAAAAATAGGGAATAATTTCCAAAATGCTAGTCCCTAAAATTTAGGAAAAGAGCATCTTTTAAAACAGAAAATGGACAGCTGTCCATTTCTATTCAATTTTCAACTTCTTTTTTAAAACTAAAATTGACAGTTGTCCAATACTAGAAGCTTCTGATATACTTATCTGAAATTCCCCTATTTTTACTTCCCAATTGACCCCCTTAAGTTCTGTTCTGACCCTTTTCACCCCCTAACTTCCAATTGATACCCAACAAGGCAATTATCTTAATTCACTGCCTTCTACTATCTCTCAGAAACTGTAATTACTAACAAGCAGCTAATCAAACCAACAAGTGCAAGTTAATCACAATCAGCAAATAATTATCTGAACTAATTAAAATTGACTAAACTTCCAATAGAACCCAAAATCGAGTAATTATCTAAAAAGAAAAAAACATTTTCCATTACTACCTAAACATGTTGTCAAACAGACTAAATAAAAAAAAAGTACTTGATTCTAAAAAATAAAGAAGAGGGGTAGAAGATCACCAATGGATTCAAAGCAACCTGGTCAGAACACAAAACTCCGGCGACCCTCGAGGCCTTGTGAATTTTTCGAGTTTTGAACAGTGTTTTTCCTCAGATTTATTTTTACATGAAAAGTGGCTAAATTTTGATTACTTTTGAAATTGGGCTATTTTTAAACGATCACTTGTAAATCTGGCTATTTTTGAATTTCTCCCGGATAAATGTAATTGGAATAGTCCAAATTTGACGAAGATTGGGCCGTGGGTTTAGTCTCAAAACATCCTGAATTAGGTTCCGAAATTCTTACTGTTTCTTTAGTTTAGACCTGATCGTGAGTCGATTTAATCTACATGTTTTAATAATTGTACATACGTCTCTTCTCTTTTGCTTTTAAGTTCATGTCCACTATCTTGCCTTGTTTTTAAAAAAATCTATTTTGGTGTTAATTAATTGTTATTCATTCCCTTTAGATATCAAAGTTTGCCAACAAATTATCCCATTACCTGAAGTTACACCTTTCTAACAATGCCATATCCATAACTTATGACTTCACAAAGAATCTCAGAACATTAGAAAAATGACTCACATCATAGCTGCTTTAGGCATGTTTAATAATTAAATCATCGCGGCTATGGTACGGTTCCCATGGTATAATCGTGATGCGTAATTCCCAACTTGAGTGTGCGTTCCACGTGACTCAACCTTACAACTTCGAATAATAATAAAATTAAACATGTTGTAGATTGCGGGTACGATTCCCGTGACGCGATTCGCAATGTGTACCAAACAAACGAGTGTGCGACATCGCGACTTTTTTCAACCAATTTCATAAATAATTAGAAGTGGTTTAAAGGGTTTTTAATGCAATAGTTTTAAAACATGTATTAAATCAGATAATTAGGCCAATTATTAATAGTTAAGCGACCGTGCTAAAACCACAAAACTCGGGAATGCCTAACACCTTCCCCCGGGATAACAGAATTCCTTACCCGGATTTCTGTTTTTGGCGGACTATAAAACAGAGTCAAACTTCCTCGATTCGGAATTTTAAACCGGTGACTTGGGACAACATAAATTATCCCAAGCGGCGACTCTGAATTTGAATATAAATAATCCCGTTTCGATTAGTGTCACTTTAATTAGAAAAATTCTCTATCGTGGGGAAAAGGAGGTGTGACACTATGTACACCCCTTAACCACAATTATATATTATCCTAGGAAGAAAAGAGATGAAACTGAGTTGCTCGAACTACAAAATGTTGAAATCGCAGAACAGTAATTTTCATTATGCTTTTTGCTCTTTCCCCGGTTTATGCTTTCGACTACCTGCTGTTCGTTTTACAATGGCCCCCATCGTTTTACATAAAAAATAATCTTAACCCCAATAGTGATTTTCGAAGGAACTTTACAGTCCATGGACTTTGGCCGGCTAACAACAACGGCCACTGGCTGGTTAACTGCAAATTGCCTAAACCATACAAAGGACCAAACAAAAGGACCGTACAATACAATACGGTAAATTACAGTGTTATTTATGTTAGGATTTTGTCCTAAATTTTTCTAATTTACTAGGACTATCTTTCTTAAAGAACGGAAGAAACACTCCTAAAAGAAATAAATTTCTTTCATGTCTTATCCTTTACGTGGAGAAGTTTTACACTTATATATATTGATGATTTTTGTTTCTCACAACAACAATAACATTCACAATATAGTCAGTAAAGATTCTTGTTTAAGGAGAATCTTTTTTTCTCTCAATAATTTTTTATTTTTATACTAATTTTTATATATAGGTCAATTGACCAGACTCTTACGGTACCCTATTTTAGTATAATTTTTTTGTTGTCTAATTTATCATCCACCAAACTTTGTATTAGCTTCCGCATGTACCATATTATTTCGATCACAATAATTTACTCAAGCATTTTTACATGTTTCTTTGCTATCAATTCTTTCCTCTTCCATTCTGTTGAATAATGAAATCTTTTTCCTAAACTTTACAGAATGAAGGTGAAAAAAATAAGCTGTATGAACGCTGGCCAGATTTACTTACCTCCGAAGTAGCCTGTAAGCAAGGCCAGAGGTTGTGGAAAGACCATAATAAGCACGGAACCTGTTGTGCTTCAAACTACAATCAAGAACAATATTTTAATCTAACCATAAAATTGAAAACCAGGTTCGATCTTTTGAAAACACTCGAAAATCATAGAATAATTAGACCTGGATCAACGACAATGAGTGACGCTAAACAAATCGGAAATGCCATCGAGACGTAGGGTCACTAAATATGGGAGATAAGCATATGTTTCAACCCACAGGCAACTAATGTGATTCCATGTCGTCAATCTTGGACATGTGACCCAACTAAGAGGATTACGCTTCCACCGTGAACAATTTCCCATTTCTTTCTTTATAAGAAACGCAAAACAGCGAGCACAGAGTTATTCAGGAACATTAAGATGATGGTCCTAATCGAAAATTTAAGTTCTAGTCTATTTCCTTATTTTGATTATAGAATAATCTTTTACAACTTGTCTTCGATAAAATATCATTGGGAAGAATAAGAGCTTCTACTCAAATGTCATTTTTGAGTCTATCCCCTATGGACAATTCAATGTGTGCACCATACCATCATATTTAGGAAAGTGAAATTGGCACAAATGTAGTCTTTTGCACCCATCTGCATTCACTTAGTCAAGAAATATATTGTCCTTGTATCCGCTAGCTATGCTTGAAAACAGATAGTACAAAATTATCCCTCCTTGGCTCAATTCGTGTCGCCAACTTTTCCCACACTGCTCCAATGTCTTCCTAAACCTCCTCTCTACTTTCTTTCCTTTACACCACAGGCACTTCCTCTACATAGGCTTAGAGAGAGATAACAATACAAGGTGAGTGCTCTCTTCCAAGTGTTTCTGATCTGGTAAATAGTAGAAGAAAGTTTTGAAGACCGCCTTCGAAGCGTCCCTATTTCATGCATTACGTCAAGAACAATTGCATCGCCTGCATCAACCTGCCACTCTCTAAGACCCAAATAATGGAGAACAGTTTCCGATTAACAGATATTCGCGGGTCATACTGTCTGAAGTTCATTTCTGTTAATTTAAGCAGCTAGATAAGGTAATCATATTGCACCTCCCTAGAAGCCACCGTATGCACTTAGCCTGAATAGATTATTTGCGCAAACATGAAACTTTGATGACGAATCAAACTATATATAGCTTATTGAGTAAAAGTTCAAAGCAGCCAACACAGCCAAAAAAGAGAGGGGAAAAGCAGTGCATAGTAAACAATTTTTACAGGAAAAATTTAACTCAATTATGAAAAGATGAGGTTTTTTTCTTCTCTAGTCTTTTCTTTTTGTGGGGCGCGGGAGGCAGCTAGACACAAAAGAACATTTACCACGTTAATCTGTCAAAACATACATGAGTAAATGACATGATAATTCCAAACGCTCAGGACAGGGGGGGGGGGGGGG